AAAAACCTGTGTTTTAAAAGTTAATGTTTCTTCTAGATACTTGCATAATTTCCTATTCTTACTTCCGTTCGATTCAAAATCTTGTTCCGAAGAACGCCCTACTGCGCAAGTTGAAAATCGGTAACAAAATGTTTTAAAGGACGAATTTTAAATCGCTGAACCCCAGCTCCTCAACTCGTAAGAGGAATATGCATGATTAGAAGGAAAAGCAAAGGGAATGAATGAAGCATTTTGAAGGGAGCATCGCTGTCATCCCTGCTAATTATTCCATTGATTACTATTTGAAAAAAATCTTCCATTGATTGCTGTTACCACAAAGTTTTGCTTGTTTCCTCTCATCAGCTACCACATCGCAGAAAAAACCACACTTTTCGCAAAGTTTCTGAGTTGAAATCCTATCGTTTTTACTCTTTTGTCTCTGGACTGTCAAACCTATGCAAGATTACCGTTATAAACCCTTTCCAGTTATATAAATATATCTCATTTTGAATGGCCACATTGATCCAACGTATTACTCTCTTGTAAGTTAGGGATTGATGCTGCCTTCACGTCTATTCATTAAAGACAGAAGCAAAATATTTTCCGACGAACCGTAGATTGGCCAAAAGGAACGTAGTCGAAGCAGCGAAGCTGCTGAAACGAATGTTATCATACGAAAGCAAAAAGTAAGAAATGATTCTAAGTGAACGGCCACACGGACATCTGTCTTCTTCGTTGAGGTTGCTTTAGGACTTTCAAAACTGTTGATACTTCGATTTTTCAAATTTACGCTGTAGTAACTGCAAGCTTACATTTCAGTTGCGTGAGTCTGATGCGGCTAAAACTCGACTTCGCATTGACAAAGATAATTTGATTACGGCTCTAGAAAAGACAAAAAAAGATCTCATCAAGGCTAATCATGTCATTTCGAAGTACTTGAAGGTAGGAGAGCGATGATAAGGAGTGCGGAAGTGTAATTAAATGCAACGAATAAATGCAGGCAGACATGCGTAACTTATCTGAAAGGAGTTTGGATGAAAAGAAGAATGAGATGGCAGCAGATTTGAAGATGAAAGAATCACTTATTGATGAAATGACAGGTAGGACTGACTCTTTCATCGGATTTAATCGAACTTGATGGCACGGTCAACATTGCAGCTTCGATTGCTGGTTACCAGAGAAGGATTGATGAGCTAACGAAAGAGAATGCAGAACTCCGAAGCACATTGCAGACAATGGAAGTAGAAAGGGCAAGAAACGCTCGCGGTATGTTTGTGTTTCTCTTGATTCTGATTTTGGTGTCTTAACCTTTTTCCTCAGTTATTGAAATGTATCGCAATCAACAACGTGCTGTTGCTTTTCGTTCTGTAGAGGCATCTCCGCCAATTTTCGGGCTTACGAGTGCTCCTTCCATTCTTGGTACCGCAACAGGCCCGCTTAGCACCTTTGCTCCTTCAACGCCCACGAATTTCAGAAACGTTCTAGGCAAAACTTTGGTAATACATTTGATTGTTATCTCCGTGATAATCATAGTTCTTCTTTTTGTTTAGCAATCTAGCACTGCGTTATTGACACCATCAATGCGTAATACCCCACCTGCATTGAATACCAGATCGCATTTCACTAATTCTAAGGAGAAGTGAGTGAATATTACAACTGTTACCAACTCCTCAATATTTAATGTTTTAAAATTGCATAATCTCAGCACTTCCCCTTCCATCGCTTTGGAATCAGCACAACTGAAAACAAAGTGAAATTCACAAAGTAAGATACTTTATTATGTGAAAATTATCCTCATTTTGATATTTTTGTATTTTCTATGTTGTTATATACTGAGTTTTGTATTTTAGGATTACTCCAAGAAGCGACTCATCTACTGCTATATGAGGTCATTCCGGTTTCCTTTAAATAACTCTTTAATTTTATTCTTCGCTTTCCCCTCAGAAGCGAATTTAGCTAATTATTTTTCCTACTCTTGCTGTGATGCAATGGCTTTCATGTTGGTTTACTTCGTGCGGCTTTCCAGAAGAAAAATTACGAAAGTCAAATTTTCTGCAATACGGTAGAAACCATCTGAAAGTGAATATTTGCAAAGCGAACCCACACAGCTTATTTTTCTGGGGTGCAAGAATCTCGAAGTTGCAACAAGGCTACCAATTAGGTGAATGGTGGAGGCACGTGGAAAGCAATAATGTAATTTACGCCCGCATTTTTTAACGATTCAACTTCCTTCCCAACGTTCCTTGGACCTAAAGGTCCTCCCGTGGGTATGCTTAGACAAAGCGCAGTAGCTGGGCAAAATGCAACATCACTCGACGAGCGTTTTCCGAATTTTGTGCCTAAGCCCTATGATGTTAACAAAAATCATAGACAACAACATTCTGCTGTAAGGTTACTTTTGTACATTGGAGATATAAAAATCATTGAATCGCCTGAAACGAAATCGTATAACCTTGTCTACCATGCGAAATGGTTTTAACGTGGGGAATGGATGAACTGATAGGCATATCCCATATAATCGCAGTGACCACTTTTTCGCTAAGCCAATAGTTTTGACCTCTGCAACATTTCATAACATAGTAAGTTCCTATTGTGAAGACTAAGCACAATGTTTGTAATCACCATACTTTTCTCGGCAACGTTATACGATTTCAAGTTCGCTTTAAAAAATTCAGCATCACTTTCTTTGCGCTCTTCACATTCAGTTTCGATCACTCCTGATTCAACAGAAACGCAATCATTGGGTAAGCCAGGCAGAGCACCTTGTAGAGGAGGGAGATTCTCTTTTGAAGGTATCTCTTCAAGGTAACATAAAGTTACCTTACAGCAGAATTTTGTTGCCAGGAAGAGGTGCTGACAGAATTTTCATTTTCTGAATTCTTTGTCAATTCTAATTCGAAAACGGCACGAACGTATTCGGCAACTCAACATCTTAAAGCATAGGGTGTCTCAAAAATATAATCGTTGTTTTATCGCTAGAACTGTCCTCTTTTCCTTTTCTAGACCCTGTGCACCCATTCTGAAGGTTCGGTTTGAACTTTATCCCCGCTATGAACGTATCTCGTATCTCTTTTTTAACATTGGATGAAAGTATGAAACTAAGTGTACTTATGCGCTGGCTAAACAGTTCTCTTTGGCGCAAATATAGTTCTGAAATGACGATGGAAACTTGACTTGTGAGACAATTTAGTACACTGAGCATAATAACCACGTAGGATGACGACGTAGGATTTGACGTAAGATTTTGTACAAAATTACATAAAGTGCTCAATGGCACGGAACTTTTGCATCGTTCTGACGTAGTGGTTGAAAGTACAGGAAAGGTTATGAGTACAAATTTTAGTCCACAGACCAAAATACATCGTTAAGGCTGGGAAAATCCAGGAATAAAAAACAAATGACGACCAACAGTGGTTACATTTTTGAGACATCCTATATAATATTTGATGATTACATTAACTTCAATCAGTTGAGCTTACTCGTGTGAAATAAAATTGACTGCAGGAGCTGTTTATTTATGGTCTTTGGAAAAAATTGGGTTGTTGTCAGCATCCAAATATCACTTTAACTTCCGATACTATTGATTTCTAAACGGACTAGGTCGCTTAACAAAAGCTCGCTTGATGCATTTTTTTT